ACAGCTTGCTGTTGTCGATTATGTGACATTCTATAACAGAAGTGTCCTGTAGTCCCTTGAAAAGCTAGCGATTTCAAATTAGTGCGAAAAACATTTTGATTTTTTTTCGCAGATGTTCTCAGTACTACTGTTCCTAATGGTTTGGAATACGATGGCAAGTTGTTTATCCCTCTGACTCCTCTAATAATAACGGCGAAAAGTAACAAAACCGAAGCAGAATCGAGATGCAAGGAGATTGGTGGACAATTGGCGAATATTTATAATGACGATCACATGGATAGAATAGGAGATTTCATACGATCAAATTTTGAAATTGGAGAAATAAAATCTTTTCATCTTGGAATGACCTATAACAAGGTGAGAACTAAAGGGGTTTCGCACGCAGGGGCAAGGAGTTGACGATCACGGCGTTCATTTCCGAATCAAAGCTATCTGAGTCAACCCTCGTATTTGCCTTGCACTTCTAAAGCCCACTGAAATAAGGCGAATAGCAAATTATCTGACGCAAAATCATTTATAGATTCAGAAGAAAACAATTAAAAGCAATTTTAACAATGACGTTACGTTTTCAATTATGACGCCATAACATCCAATATTTCTTCTAAAATGAAATTTCAGATAACTCACTATTGCGCTTTTCAGCTTTCAAATATATTCATCACATTATAGAAATCTGCATCAGCGATCAGTAAATAGTCACGTCATAATACACAATAATGACATCATAGCACGGTGATATGACATCATAAGAGTAGGGAAGAGTGGTCTTGTGGCCCACATAAGAGAACAATAGTAACCGCAGATTGATCGCCGTTTTCATATTTTCAGAATGAAAGTGTTTCCTTCCGTAACGGAACTGCAGTGGACAAGACTCACTTCAGGTGGAGAGGAGGCTTTGCAAAAAACAACGGCAAACTAGTCTATCTGCGCGTGACAAAGGATGAAGAGAGAGTCAATCAGTATCTTTGGAATGGGAGGGACGAGGAAAAATTTGTACTATGCGAGCGCTGAGCTCGAAACATATTTTATTGTAAAAGCAGAAAAAAATGCCTGCTTTTGGACTTTTACTTAGTTGTTGGACACGTAATGGATATATATATATATACATCGTTTTGTCATTTCCTTTGTTATTAATATGAAAAAATCGCTTTTATTATCAACTACTGGACCAATTGCTTTGAAATTTCCGGTGGTTATTTGGTACTCCCGTAGTGTGTGGGTTAGGCCATAATTTATTCCAATTTTCATTATTTTAGTTCTATTACGGGTTCGGGGCCTGTCTGTGTTAGCTAAGTGAATATACCCCCTGCCTATAGGTTTTTGTCCTTTTACACAACTAAATATAAAATAAGTAAAAAAAATAGTTACCACCATATTGGTACATACACTTCCGGAGCGCCGGTTATTACTTATCGATCCTTAGATCGGTAATTATGTTGATAGGTATTTGTCTGTTTGTCTGTTAGATGCAATCTGCTCCAAATTTTACATGTGCATTTATCATATCTTGGACCAGTCTATCGATTTTGAATGAATTATGTCGTATAATTAGCAATTTATTAATTAATTAGAGATGGTACACGCGGTGTCACTATAGAGTCATGAATCGAAACCGCAGTTTCGATCGATAAGTGTTCGGTCTCCGACCGATATTTTCGTTTAGCTATTATCACGGTGTCTCAAATAATCTCTTGTCCAGTGATGGAATTCAAAATTTTAGAAAGCTTTTTGGACACTTTTGCGTCGAACACATTAACAACAGGTTCGCTAGTTTAAAAAATATATGCATGTTATGACGTAAGCTGCATCAACATGACACGCGTTACATAAATCTAATATTTAACTTTCAAAACGCAAAATACCGTGTTTTCCTAAAAATAAGACCTAGCCTGAATTTTTAAGATCGTTTTAATATAACCTTAAAATACGTACTAGTCAATAGCACGAAGATTTTTTTCTCTTTTACACGTTTTAAATGTATAATAATCTATGGTATTTTAAATAAATATGTGTTATTTATAAGTAAATGAATATTGGTTTTCAAATTTTGTATATTCGAAAATATATGTTCTTCGTATTTTCAAACTCGTATTTTTTAACTAAATATTGAAACGTTTGGCTTGACTGTGTTGGCATTGCAGGGATCACATACTGGGTTCAAATCCTATTCCCCCCATCTCACCAAGGAATAAATATTTTTCAAACTTTCACTATCCGCACTTTGTTTGGAAACTTACCTATCGTTTGACCATAATTCTTCTAATAAAATGTCCGCTTTGTTGCTTTTATTGTATTTAATTACCTAAAGATCCCATTGCAAGACCCTGTATTATTTTCTTTTATTGCATTGTGTCTTATTGATTTTGTTGTTTATCATTTGATTTTTCTATGATGCTACGAAGGCTTTAACCCGACATAGCAAAACTAGCTTGAAAATCAAAGCAAAACTTGTTTTGAGAAAAACGTATATTTAATATTTTTAAACTTCTGTAAGTTTTTACTGAAATACTTTTGGTGAATATTTCTTCAAAGAATTAATTGAATACCATCTGAAGAACATCACTGACTTTCCTTATATACTATCGTTGTTTTGTGATTTGCACAGTGGTTCCCAACTCTTCATAGAACATGACCCCCTTCCGGAGGGTTTTAGCACTCTTGGCCTTTGTTCATCATTCGAGTAGTATTTATAGCTGATTTGGGCAAACTACGGCCCGCAAAGAAAATTGGGCCCGTTGCGTAATTCAATCTGGCCCGCCTGATGCTTCCACAACCAAACCAAACCGAAATTTCGACGTTTTAGATGAAAATAGCTCAAGTAATTCGTTGAGATTGCTATTTAATTTAGTTTTGCATGGGGCTTATTGCTTTCCACTTTTGCTTTTGTAACACTGTAAATATTGTTTATAAAATGTAACTTATTACGTCACACTTACATTAGGGTCACCATATTTGAAAAAGCAAAATTCCGGACAGTCCATGACTATTTTCATGACCTCGTATAAAAAATATGCGCACGGTACGAAATAACAATGTTATGTATGAGCAGTGTGCACAGTACGATTGCAGATGCAGTAAAATTCCGGATTCCGGACATTTGAGCATTTTTAAAATTCTTCCCGGACGCAAAATTGATACTAAATTCCGGACATGTCAGGAATTTTCCGGACGGTATGGCAACCCTAACTTACATGGCCCGCCAGTCTAAGTGGGCAAAATTGTTGGCCCCTTCTCCAAAAACCTTGTCCGACTCTGATTTATAGTGTTAGATCCCAAATTCCGTTATGTTTATATAATTCATGCTCAACAAAGTGAAAACACCCTGTGAAATAATCTTATCAAGCAATGAAACAAGGAAGAACGGAGTGTTAACTTGTAAAGAGGAAAGTAAAATCAGTTTGGCTTCAAGCATTGTGGCCCATTCAACTGCTCTGTGGTCCCCGTTGGGAGCCGCTGCTAAGAACGGGTTCGTATTTGTAATTTATTTTACTAACAACAGGTTCTCCAATAACAGAAAACTATGCCGAAGTTATAGCTTTAAAAACAGGAATGTACATTATGAGAATGGGTTACCACAAACCTATGAATCCCACTACATGCTCTGAGCCCAAACAGTGAAACCTAAAAAATAGTTTTGACAAAATGAGTGATTCGTATTTTTTGATTTTTAAACGTCTGTAATTTTTCATTGAAATATTTGAATATCGCTTCAAACTAAGATCAGATGCTAGATTTTAAAGGGTACTCCCGTTGTATGTGAACCTAAATGGCGGACAGTGGAACGTAGCATGTGTACCAGGTTAGGGTTAGGCCATAATTACAGGTATAATTACTACGGAAGTCACTTGGCTAGTCTCTGAACACTTTATAGAATAAAAATAAGGTAAATTGGAATAAAATTGTGGCCTAACCTGGTACACATACTACGTTCCGGTGCCTGTCATTTGGTTCACATACTACGGGAAAACCTTGAAAAGTACCTAGCTTTTGAAATATCTGCAACTGATATTTTTTAAAATCTCAAATTTCACCATTTTCTTTGAAACACCAATATTTTTTTATCAGTCTTTTTCTGAATCCGAGATGTGTTGCCTTTTTTGCTTTCTCTATAAAAAATTGTTCCAGAGTTCTCATTGTAAGGCTGAGATATTTGTTTTTAATCTATTTTACATCTTTTTTTGTTTTAACTTTTATTTCACAATATGACATAACGAGGGCTTAATTAAACCAAAAGAACAAAACTGGGAAATTGTTAAACTCCTGTATTCATATACTAAGATACTTTGGTAAATTCACTTCACTTTATTATTATTTTTGGAATTTCAAAATTTGACCCGATTAGTCGCTATTACCCGTATTTTTACGATTCCGAGATGCAAATGAAATATTTTTTTTTTATATAAATAATCATTATTAAGCCACCATTGCAAAACTAAGATGTTGACTTTCCCTGTTTTTTATTGTTGTTGCTTTTTTAGTTTAGGAAATATTTAATCCGTTTTCCTGAAATAACAAAAAATACTATTGTATTTGAAAGTTTTTTTGTGCCTCATCGGGGAAAAAACGCAAGTGAACCTTTAAAATGAAACCTTTAAAAACCTTACATTTAAAATGAATAGATCACATTCGCTTCAGGTAGAAACCCATAAGCCGGCGCGGTTTTTGGAACGGTGGCCATAAATTTTACCAATCTAGACTGGAGGACCATGAGAGTGACGTAAACCCCAATTTTAAGAACAATATCCACAGGTTACAAAAGCAAAGTAGAAAACAATAGGCCTTGTGCCTAAACTGAATTTAATTGGAATTGCAAAAATTCCTAGACTTATTTTTTAGGTAAAACATCAAAATTTGGTTTCAATTTGGTTGCGGCAGCATCAGGCGGGCCAGATTGAATTACTCAACGGGCCGAATTTGGCCTGCGGGCCGTAGTTTGCTCATGTCAGGCATAAACTCTGTCTAAACCAGCACACAGCGCGATTATCGAGTAAACACTTCTATCTCATAAACAAATTTATTTCACACACACAGATCTTCAATTTATTCATGCGCGCAATAATTACAAAGTACATGCTGCAGTGCATAGAAAGTAATGTGCAGCAAACGGAAAGGAAAAATAAGAGAAAAAAAAGTTGATTGAAAGGTTTTCCATTAATGGCGAAATAATCGCACAATTATATACGGCCAGAGATAATGGCATACATTTTTTTGAAAAAAGTTATGAACCATAGCTCGGAATAAAGCGTTAGACAAGCAAGTTGCTTGAATTATATACGGCCAAAGATAAGGGAGGGCTTTTGGTGCGAGGTTTTCAAATATTCAAAACATGGCTCTGGACAGAAAGAACAGGAGTAAATGTTCTTGAATGACCAAATTTCGCTTGAGATATTTCACCTAAATAGCCACTTGGTAGAGTGGTTTAAATTTTAAATGCTGTTCAAAATGCTTTAAGCTAGGATGAGAACCACGGGAATAAAAAACAGAGGGCTGTGAGTGCTTTAGTCCTCCGGAAGGGTGCAACTAGCCATGAAAGGTGGGGAACCACTACAAAAGACTATATTACTTCAAAAGCGTATGCAATATGGCGCTCCTGTAGTATGTGCACCAAGATGGCGGACACCAGAACGTAGTATGTGTACCAGGTTAGGCCCTAATTTTATTCCTATTACGAGTTTGAGTGCTAGCTAAGTGACTTCCCCGTGGTATTTGTACTTGAAATTATGGCCTAACCCTAACCTGGTACATATATTACGTCCCGGTGTCCGCCCTCTTGGTTCACATACTACATAAGTACCTGCAATATGTCAAATAGGCGAAATTTTCAAATAAAATTTTTCGAAATTTTGATCAGACTTTTTTGCCTTGAAATTCTAGATTTGTATTTGTTTGATATTGAAATAGCAAATTCTGCTTTCAAAGGTACGATATGTCTAATTACTCCATTAGTAACCTTACGAAATACTTGACTATGACCTTGTACAGAGCACACAAAATAACCAAAAGAGAAGTAAAAACAATAATGCGGCAGTTTAAACAAAAACAAATGAAACTTTTATTGTGTTTGGGTTACTTTGGTAAGAAAATTAGAAAGGATTTCTCAATGGTATCCCGAAATACGCGCCCACAAGTACTTCTATAGTTGGCCTGGCTTAACAATTTTTGCATATGTGATTCCTCACCCCTACCTAACTAGTCATCCGAAAATCTGAACAATACTGACGTAATAATGCCCTCCAAAGTATACAGATGTTCGTCTAAAAAGTACATACGATCATCCAAAATCAAGCAAGCTATTTCTTTCGTTACCTTGTCGTAACGATACCGATATGAGAGAGATCACTGGCGTTAGTGAGTTCATTATAGTCGGCGACGTAGTCAGGTAGGGGATAGGAATATTATATGTAAAAATCATCATGCTACGCTCACTAGAAGTACCTGCGGGCGTGCACTCCGGAAGACCCGTCTTACTAGCAGAGTGGTTCAAGTGGCCGCTGGTTTCTCATACACTATTCCAAATTTGATATGGTTTCAATTTGAAAAACAAAACTATTGCAACTATTTTATAGAAATAATTATATTCCAATTATTCCGAATTCTCTGTTTCAAATTTCGCTTAAAAAATTTGTCATAAAAATGTGAGAACCACTGCTCAAAAGCATTCAATTATGGCCTCATCTGGACGTGGGAACAAAAATGGTTTAATAATGCATATTCATACAAGTAAATACTGGTTTGCAAAAAAATATCAGATGTCAAACGCAGAAATAAGGCCTTATATGGACCGAAGATGAAGTTAAACCAACTTTAACTGCGGTCCAAACATGGCACAAGCAAAAAACAAGCAAACATTCATGCACATATCAATTATTAGAACACAATTGCATTGTAGCATTATACACCTTACTATGGCAATCGATGCCGTTGTACTATTTTACTCGCCATTGTTCGTTTGTGGCAGTTCAAGGTCATTCATTTGACCTTCAAAAAGGTTTTGACTTTCACTTTTCATTTCGAACAATTTTTGTAAATGTTATGTGACATCATAGAGTGTTACATTATGATGTAACAACATTTCATTGTTGTCTATGATGATGCCATAAAGCACTCATTTATGAGATCATAAGATGTATTATCACTTCACAGTAGTTTAGCAGCAACTTGAGGACTATGACATGAAGCGATTGACATCAGTAAAGGAAGATCACTCGATTCAATTCTGAAATGAGAAAGTGCATATTAAAATCAAAATAATATTCAATAAAATCATAAAAAATGCAAAAATTCATATTTTTAAGTGACATGGGCAGCAAAATGGCAAGTTTAAGCAAATTTTGAAATTGTTTTTCTTTTTTTTTCAGATACGGGAATTGCTGTTTTTCCCTCTAATTAAACATATTTTAATTAATACTGCTTTTTACTTATCGATCTTAAGATCGGTAAGTATATTGATAGGTATTTGTCTGTCTGTATGTCTGTTAGATGAACGCAATATCTCACGAAGGCGAAGTTGAATCTGCTGCAAATTTTGCATGCGCATTCATCATATCTCGGACCAGAAGCCTATTGATTTTGGATGAATTATGTCGTATAATTGGCGAGTTATTAATTAATTAGTGATGGGACATGCGGTGTCACTATAGAGTCATGAATCAAAACCGCAGTTTCGATCGATAAGTCTTCGGTCTCCGACCGATATTCTTGTCTATAGTGTTGTTCATGATAATTGATAAATTTCACTTTCTAAAATATGCCTTCTAGCGGGTCCCCCGGAAACGTTGGGCTTCACGAGTACTGAGGATCTTAAATGCGTTCCGAGCTATGAAAATTTTTATGTATAATACAGAAAAATGCTTTTTTTAACAATTCAAAAGTGGGGTTTTGATCCTTAACCACCTTCTACCTAAACTCAGATTCGAGACGCTGCTGAGGAGTCTTGTTTGGAGCAATAGGTATAAAAAAAATTGTACCCTATGCATAGCATCAGCTTGACAGCGAACAATAATTTTACTCACCCCAGAACAGCTGACAGTTGAGAAATATTGACTCTTGTGTTTCCGACGACATATCCTGCCAACATTCGGCTTTTCAGAACGAGTTCTCCCAACGAATTCTCCAATTGTTGCATGCACTGGAAAATATTCAATTTGGTAAGTATTCTTGTTGATTGTATAGGCAGCATAGGCCATTACCACCTCTTGAAAAACTTTTTAATTACTAAATTACGGATACCGGTACTTTTGTGCTATAAGTTTGTAGCCAAGAATGTTCTAGGTGTTCCGCAAGGCGAGATAAAAGTGTGGGTGTTCCAAGGCAAAAAAGTGTGAGAAACGCTGGGCTATTTCTTACAGCCTTGACATTTCTAGTATCAAGATCCAAGGCATCTATCTAACATAACATTTAACTCTGAGATAAATATATACATAGCTAATACAAGATTGTTCTGGTTCAAAAACTAAATTACCGTAAGCAAAAGAGCAACGCCCAAATCTATGGACATCAAGGCACAAGTCCATGCTTCCGAAAAACGAACAACTAACTAATCCCATACCAGACATGGAATGGTAATCGGACGAGAGGCCGTGGTTTGCCATATGGTTAGCCGTCTTATCGGTTTTCCTCTCCCCCAGGATAACTGTGTAAATTCTATCCTATCCTAGAATACCTAACTGCAGTGCTGATAGCCTATACGGCTTACACATAAAAGCAATGTGAAGTGATTTCGCAAAATCAAAAACACCCGTGAATGTCAGGTCTGACAGAAGAAAAATATATGTGTAACACATGTTGATAAATGTCCATTAATGTGCCCGATTGAAGAGATAGAATAAAATAAAAACTTACAAATTCCGCTGGTGCATTGATCTGATATAGCTTCGTTATTCTTTCCAAAATATTCGTAACAAGTTTTGAATTCAAGGCCGGGAGTGCTGTATTGTCGCTATGGATACGATGAGTACTGAGAACTTTGACGGTCCTAGGAGGGAGTAAAAAAAAATTAATTGAGTATGAGATGTGATAATGTTGTGTCTTAAATGAATAGAATGTTCAAATTAAAAAAAAAATTACATTTTCTATTTTAATTTCTTGGGTCTGAGAATAACTTGGAACAGTGGTTCCCAAATGGAGATGGCAGGCCATGTAAGTGTGACGAGAAAGTTACATTTTATGTACGATATTTAAAGCGTTACAAAAGCAAGAGTGGAAAACAGCGAGTAATGTGTAAAAACTAAATTTAATTGCCATCTCAACAAATTTTTTGAGCTATTTTTCAGCCAAAGTATCAAAATTTGGTTTAAGCTTGGTGGTGGTAGCATCAGGCGGGCCGGATTGAATGGGTCGAATTTGGCCCGGCGGCCACAGTTTGCCCGTGTCAGGCCTAGAGAATACAATTCAAAGCATTGCATCAAAAATGTAGAATTAACCTACCATTTATCTGTATCTGCTACTATCGATACGGCTTCGGATACTGGTTCATCTAGTACAGGTCTTTGGACAGAATGTTGCAATTCTCTTATTATCTTTCTATATAATCCTGATTGATTACGAGTGCCATGCAACGCGAAACCCCATAAATATTCTGGTGAATAGCTGAAAAAACATAAAAAATTTATTTTTTTGTTCAAAGTGTAATTTCCATTTAAAAATTATTTTCCAGTTAAGAAAAGGGTGGTGAGAGCAGCTAGAAAAGGGGTGTGGCACTAGCGCATTCGCGTACCCCTTATTAAAGAATAGCACCCCAAGCCATTTATTGCGGTTCTTGTCAACACTCAAATTTTCCCCATCAAGCATAAATTCATATTCCCAACTTCCTACCATACATAGCAATTTTTCGTAGATTGAAATGCTTTTTATACCCTTGTGACTGTTGGAAACCCACGTTTTTCGCTAGCTGTTACAGTCTAACTTAGCAAATGGAAATTTCAAATCCTGCCCTTCCAACATTCCTGGCTACGCCTCTGATTAAACATTCCACGATTCGCAGCCATGCTTGCCAAATCGGAAATAAAATCCAAGACTTACTCTGCCATTAGCTCTCCGAACGTCAATCTCGAGGAATCCTCTCCATTTTCAGACTTCTTTGTCGCAGGTACTTTAGTTTGTTGTACTGGTCTGAGGGGGACTTCTTCAAGGGATGAAAAATCATCCACACCGCCCTCTTGTGGTAATTCAGATAGTGTTTGTGAACCCGCACCATTATTGTTTTTAGAATAACTTGAGGTATTGTCACACGATGGCGTCGTGGGTAATTTTGGGTACAGTGAGTTAGTAACCTCCTCATATGAGGGCAGATCCTCATCCAAATTTGGATACAATCCCTTAGTTTTAGTTGGAACGACAGTTTTTCCATCTAAATTTGGATATATTGAAGATTTCGGTAGTTGGGGGCCATTTCGGGGAGTACTGGGGGTTGAGATTTCATCAAGTTTGGGGTAAAGGGACCCATGATGAATGGGGGGTGCTAATGGTAGTGGGGGAGCAGATTTGGGGGGCGGGTTCGGGGAGGACACAAATCTTGAAACTGTTTCGGACTTTGTTGATTGGCTACGATGAGAAGGACCAGTTGTCGGTAAGGGAGGCGCTTGACGTTTTGTTACAATTGAATGATTTTCCGCTTTCTGCTTGAGTGATTTTGTCACGATTGATTTGTTCTCGATTGCTGGTGATTTTTCTCTTTCCAGCGTCGCCTGACAGGGTCCCTTAGTTGGAAGAGGTGGCGGGGCTGTTTTGTTCACAATTGATTGATTTTGGCTGTTCTGGTCTGTTGGTTTTGTCACACTTGACTGTGTCTGACCTTGATTATTTTTAAGGTCATTTGATGACTTATGAGCTGAGAAAAATATGAATTCCGAATTTTCCCCATTTTCATTGAAGTACTCGTCAAATTTTTCATGTTCCAACGCAACTGAAGGAATTCTGCATAGTGGGGGGAGCCCCGAACTTTTTTCTTCGCTCTCGTCTATGCTAGATTGTTTAGATGACGAGTCGGTTAATTTACGCCTCCTCCCAGCAAGTTTAACTTTATTTGATGCTGCCGATGAACTTCGTCGAACTACGCTGCTAACTGATGCATTAGAAGATGACCTATGAACTTTGGGGTCATTGAAATTGAACTTTGACTCTGGCGTGACCCCTGGGGCGATTGACGCAATTTCTACTCCAGAATTTGAGTTATTTTTTGGTGAAAATACGTCACAGAAATCGGGGGAGTCTATTTTCGCTGGTTTTTCTTGTAAAAAACTACCAGATTTGTGTTTTGATCGTTTTTTGGGTGAAAGTTCTGCTTCTGGGGTCCGGAATCCAATTATGGGACCTTTTTGTCCGGCGGATGATTTTGAACGGGGTAAAAGGGGTGAGGGGCTGGGAGAATTCATTGCTATAACTGGCTGTTCCCTTTGCACATGAATAGCATTGACAACTCGTGGCTCGACAGTGTCAACAAATGTTTTTCTAACGACAGGAAAATACGTCGATTTTGTTTTTACGAGAGATGAGGAAGTCGTGTCCGCAGTTGTATGTAAAACATTTACGTTGAATGGTTCGCTCGAACCTCGTTTATGTGTTCGTTGACGTGGAATTGGTTGCACTGGGAGTGCTGTAATCGACTCTGAAATAATATTCTGCTGCCCTCTTGTGGAAGGTGTACACAAATTCTTCATTTGGCCTGTGAATACAAAAATTGATTTAGAAAATATAGACTGAAAAAAAATACATATTTGCCTAAATTTTGATTCATTTTATTCAACTGTGAGAATAGACAGTTTCCACTGAAGATAAGGTAGGTTCAAATATTTATCCCAGGGGAGAGGTAAGCCGATAAGACAGCTTAATTATATGGCATACCACGACCTCTCGTTCGGTTACCATTATATGTCATGTATGGCATTAGTTGTCAGTATTAGTTTTCAGGAGCATTGACTTGATGGTGGAGGAAGCCGAAACCGACCAGCAGTTACTTGAACCACCCTAGGGCAGCAAGGAGTCCAGCAATTCTCTCATTTGAACCCACAAGGAATAATCAGAGGTCCAGTAGCGAGCGTATGCCTAACAATTAAATAGGTAGAAGACAATCAAAAAACAAGATCATGCATGACTTTCTGCTCATCATACTTTTTATTTATATCACCGGAAACTTTCCAATCGATAAAATGACAGAGATAAAACAAAAAATTAGGCTGAAAATTAATTCATCAAATATATTGCAATATTTTTTACCACATACCTCCGACATTATTTGGACAGGATCCGATATTCTCCTTTCCCAGTCTTTTCTGTAACAGCTCAGAAGCAGGCATTGGGCCCCCACAAAATGACTTGCTACCCTCTAGTGACGAAACTCCCTCATTGCACAGTTTTTCAATGTTTGAAATAACGAGCGCACTTGATGATTTACTCATTCGAGAAATATTCGAAACTTCATGAGATGTACGACGACTTTGGACGCCTCGTGGTCTCGCGAGAGTGTCGTTAGAATTTGTGCGCAATCTAAAAAGATAATTACGAATAGAATGAAAAAGGTTAATCCATGGATGTATCGAATTTATCATATTTGTACGCAATCTAAAAAGTTCAATTATTTTAAGCATGTGGTCGTCCAAGTCTGGTATAGTTTGAAACTGAAAAAGTTATTCCATGAAAATATAGGATTTATGATAATCATACCGAGGGAGAGACGAGAAGCCTAAATCATCACCAGTTATTTGTTTCAGATGTATTAAATTGGAAATTTCTTTAACATACAAAGTTTCAAATAGTGTCGGATAATCATTCTAAACTGCTTGTCTGACTTTGGTCAAATTAAACATAGTTAGTAAAATTTTTGAAAGTTTTATGCAAGATAGGGGCGTAGCCACCAAGATATTTCTGATTCCCACGTTGGATCGTAACAGCTGGCAGATCCGGCTGAAGGCCGAATACGTAGGTTTTGAGGGTACAAAATGCAATTCAAGCTATGCAAAATTGCTTTTTTCACTTTTTAAAAAAAAGGAATTACGACAACTCTGTATGTAACCAACTCAAAAAAGATCAATGCTTGTGTCAAGCCTTTTGTTAAGATTGGAAATAACGAAAAAAAAATCTTACCTCATAGTTGGGGTGAGTTCCATATTTCCGCTACTTTTTTGCCGATTCACTCGTGGTATCGGGGGTTTAGCAGACCCAGGACTGCTTTTGCTTCGACAGAGTGAAGTCCCAGCGAGGCTTGAAGATAAAGTTTTATTGGTCGTAAGTTTTTCCATTGCAATCGGCTCGGAGGTTTTCATTTTATTCGTTTTATTTTTACGACAAAAAGAAAATTTCGGTTTTTCAGTTTTCGGGGGGGCAGGATTGTCTATATTTTTTATAGCTGAATCGTTGTTCTCAGTTTTTGCCAAGTCAGCATCCATTGTAACGAAAACGTATTCGTTCGGTTCCAAATCACTCGGCACAAGAGACATCGTCAGACCTTGGTCGTCTTCTAAGAAAGCCTGAAACAAAATAAAATAGGGATTGAAAAAAGACACTTCAAAAAATCTAGAGCAGAGGTGGGCAAATTACAGCCTGCAGGTGAAATTCAATCTGGCCCGCCTGATGCTGCCACAACCTATCTAAAACCAAATTTCGATGTCTTAGATAAAAATAACTCAAGGAATTTGTTGAGACTGCGGTTAAATTTAGTTTTGGCATGAGGCCTATTGTTTTCCATTTTTGCTTTTGTAACACTGTAAGTATTGTTTATAAAATGTAACTTTTGCGTCACATTCACATGGCCCGCCAGTCCAGGTGGGCAAAATTTCTGGCTCGCGGCCTAAAAACCTTGCTCACCTCTGATCTAGGGGTTAGCAGAGCTGAGGTAGCTAAGGCTATTTATTGCCTCTTGTTCACGAGTCGTCATATCAAATTTTCGGTCCGAAATAAGTCCAGAATAAGTGCTCATTGTAAATTATTCTCCCCCCTTCCCCCCATGATTTTTGAAATAAAAAAGCATCATGAAACCTCACCTGAGGGGTCATGTCACTTGGAACGTCTACTACTTCTGTTACGTCAGAACTTCGGATAAAATACGAGAGGATTGAGATAATTGTCGACACAAGTTCGTGAATTTCACCCAGAATTAAAGTCTTTGCTACTTTGGTTGGCGTCCCCACAGCACCGTATATATCACTGAAACAAGAAAAAAAAATTTATAAGTTTGATCAAAGAAACTGTAAAATTGTCAGATTTGAGACTTAGCGACCACTTGAACACGCATCTAAAATGATCCAAAAAATAAACGAAACCTACGCCATGTAGAACATATTGTATGGATTCCGTTTTTTGAGTCACAACGTATATTATGTATCGGTTTTTATACAAATTTTCAATCAAGGTAACAAGACATCAACTAAATGCGGAGGGCTACTGATAGAAGTGTTACCAATAGCCATAATTAAAACTATGATGATATAGTATATATGATATGCATGATACAAAAAATTTTTCTTTTTTTACATTTCGATAAAGATGTGGGTCCAACCCTCAGTAGTGTGTCATGACTCACAGTTCGATTCATGTAAAACCACTGAAACCACATTTCGAGTAATAGGCCTAAGGTTTTACCAAGCCAACACTCACCCAAGTTGAGCCCACAGTGGATTGTACGCGAGAGTTTGTAAATCTGTTTCGCCACTTGGTGGCAGCATAGTGTTCACCCATCCAAGATGATGCGTCAGTACAGATGAAATTAGCCCGCTCATAAAACTGTTGAAAAATGAACATTGATTAAATTAGAATTGAATGATAAAAACTGGCTGACAATGAATGTAGACTGGTAAAGCGCTCCACTAACCCATATTTCCCAACCTTTTCCGATATACACTTTGCAATTTAAAATTTGTAAGACTTTATGGACACTCTTTACTCCACTATAGATAAAACTTAGTTTAAGTCCTCTCCGGGCAGGGAGCCAAGAAAACCAAAAAATGAAATATTCAAAAGCGTCATTTCCCTTAAAAAATTTAATGGCCAAAATTGGGCGCTCCAAAATTATGTATACCAATATGGAGGTAACTAATTTTGTTCACCTACTTTACATCAAGATATGTAAAGGGACTGAAACCTATGGGCAGTGGGTATATTCACTTGGCTAACACAGACAGTCCCCCAACTCGTAATAGAACTAAAATAGGGAAAATCGGAATAAAATTATGGCCTAACCCTAACCTGGTACACATATTTCTGGTGTACCCGAAATTGTTATCAACAGAAAGGAAAAAATGACTTACTAATTTTTATTCTTTGTATTATGTTGCGTCACCATTCTGGCAAGATCAGCGATAAAACATTTGACTGTGATGTCATCACCAAGCCATGGAAACCGTTGTGGTGATGTCACTGTTGTCAATGATGACCAAACTGGCTTTAGTAACCGTGGAGTTGAGTAAATTGAATTCATACATGAGGTAAATATATGGAGAATCTGAAAATGAAATTGAAAGTTAAATCGATTAATGATCGGACCAGTAGAGGAAGTCTTTGAGTGTGGGTACTGTTGAGAATTGAGGTAAAAATGAATATAAATTTTGCATAAACATAACCAAAAAATAATATGATTATCATAATCTCTTTTCACAAATTAATAAGTTTATTTATGAGCTTTCGCTAGATAATAGCAATGATGTTTATTGCTGTTTGATTGAGCCAATTCTTGTTTTTGTCTGAAGAAGTTTACGAATATTCTTACTATTTCATGGAAAGTGATTATGTTATTCTTATTTATCTTTATAATACTATCTCGTTCAAGCATCCTTGTGGCAACTGACACACACGGATCAGCAATAGAAAGTAAACAAGGAAAAAGGACTTGCAGTTCAGTACACTCCAAATAATGATAGTTATTGCAAAAACACAACCCAAAACCATACTTCAGTATTGCTATGGCCTTACGGAACAGTAAAAGCGAGGATTTTCTGGTGGGGTTTAGAAATTTCTAATTGCCAAGTTAAACCGTAACATCTAGCGGGTATGGGGTTTTTCACAAGAGCATTGAGAGTTTAAAAAACATTTCAAGCAGAAGGGAGGGCTGACCCTCAAACAACCCAGTTACTTGTCTGAAGTATACAAAATAAGTGAAAAAATTGTCCCAGACAACTGTAAGATATTTTACAAGCTAAATAATTAATACAAACAAATACCTCCATCATGCACTCGATGAACTCTTGGTTTCTTGTTCTTTTGAAACTGTTGAGAGCGGATTCGATCTGTTCTTTCAGATACGTCAGGTAGCTTTCAATCAACGGGAAATGTTCGAAGAAAAAATGGTGGAATTCACTGAAATAGATGAATTTAAATCGAATTAGTCAATAATCCAGTCCTAGGTGATTCATAATCTGTTGTTTTCAACCAGGGTACCTATGCTAATACGATCCAGGGATTCTGTAGGTTTCCATTCCAATTCAAGATTTATATTTATATATTAATTTAGGTGATCTCTCAATAAATCCAAATTGAATACCAACATGTGGTTCTAATTTTCATCAACCCAAGACTGAAGAAGTTGTCAGGAGTTTACCACATTCAATTATCTACTTCAATTTTCTGTTTTTGTTAAATTGCTTTCTGTACTGCCCGATTCTTAATCACGTTTTTCCGTGCTTCTTTTATTACTTATCGATTTTAATCGGTAAGTATGTTGATAGGTATTTGTCTGTCTGTCTGTTTGTCTGTTAGATGCAGGCGATATCTCACGAAAGCAAGATTGAATCTGCTCAGGATTTTGCATGTGCATTCATCTTATGTCGGACCAGAAGCCTATTGATTTTGGGCAAATTATGTCGTATGATTAGCGATTTATTAATTAATTAGTGATGTGACACAAGGTGTCACTATGGAGCAAGAGCGCTGTTTTGGGGGATTTTGGGTCAGCAATAGTTAAGGCAGGCACTAGCAAAGGTCAATAAAAAAACGGAAAGAAATGACTGGAAGCATCAAACCTTAAAAAAGGTAAGGGTTCCAGTATTTACCTAGAATTACTTGGCTCGGGTTGAAAGATGACTGCAAACCCGATTCTAACTTTAGTTCTTCTTGAGGTGATGATTCCATGATGAGGCTAAAATGAAGGAAAACATAATTCAACAATTTCATTCTAAACAAGAATCCCTGTGAGACATTGTTATTTTTGGAAATTTTCTGCTTCTGCATTGCCTATGCAATCTATTATACTTTAGGTGTGCTGGTGAACATAAAAATTTAAACACAGATTTATTAGTTCCAATGTTTTCACCCTGGGCCATTGCACCAATAAATGAAACTATCAAGACAATGAAGGTAGCTGATAAATTTATAAATCATATATAAAAATATATTATATAAAACCTTCATATGGAAATGACTGAAGTTTCAAAATTAGGGAATGAAACTGTGAAATTTAATGAAATAAATGTGTTTAGCCGAATAATTTTGAAATGAATACTGTCCCTGCTCACAAATACAATTTTGTCATAAATTCATTCAACCCAATACTGACCTCTTGTGTTAGGGTAAAACTATCTCTTGAAGCTTGTCTATGGGCCGGAGGAAGACTGTGCGATGCTCTATTGGATGGAATATGTTGAGGCATAGAGCGAGATCCAAGGGAACCTAAAAGAAATGAAAAGAATGCTTGATATGTTTCAATACTTGGTGCCACATAAGCAGGCCAGCTCTGGATCACTACAACCTGTGCGACCACCATGGGCTCCCATAGGTTGCACACTAATTCAATTTAACAATATTTAAATTTAATAGTTTATCAATTGTAATCATGTATCGGTCAGGGTGTTTGTTATGGACATGCAAGACTCTTAAAAAGATGATATAATAATCGTGATTTTGTACTTTGTTAAAAGGGAAATAAAACAAATTGATTTCCCTTTAAGAAGGATCCGTACACGCTACCACTGATACGGGATTGGTTAAAAATAGGGTTACAGTTAGCACAAACGAATAATAAAGTAACCTTAACACTAGTTTTGACGCGCCCTGTATGTTTTAGAATTAACGCGCCCTGTAAATGCACCCACTAGCATCCAATGATGTGAACGTACCTGTTCCTCCAAGAGAAGCTCCAAGTATTGAAGTTAAAGACATCAGAGATGAGCTGGAATCTGAGCGAGTTATTCGAGAAGTCAGAGAAGACGCAAGAGATGGTGCGGGACTTGGAACTGGCGGAGGGATGTACGATGGCTCGGGTGTAGGAACTGTGAATAGAAATATTACAATTAGCATAAATATCGCAGGTTGGATTTCTGTGGGGGTGACTACTCATCCTTATTCCGTGTCAGCAGCGGAAAAACATGTATTACAAATTGAACATATGCTTTGGTTTTAAAAGCGCACACAATATCAATAGACAGACCAAATGCCAGCACATGTCGTCAATTGGATTTCTGCAGGACTAGCTATTTATCCTGCTTCGATTTAGCACATTCATCAGCCAAACATATTTTATCTATGACTAGAAAGGTGATTGTGTCCTTATTATAGTTGATTGTATTTAATAGGGAGAATTTACTTTATATGGAATATTACAGAAAAACATATTTGTGCTATTGCGCAACAAGACTTTTGAATCACTTGTATTAGCATATATGAACTATTTATTTAGCAATCCATAGAAAATTTGGGTGTTTGAGGTTTTTAATTTAATGCCAACATGAGACCGGTGATCGCTACATTTTTAAAAAGTACCAGATCAAAAAATAACGGAAATCAGTGTTTCGAATGCCTCGTAAGCTCTACCATACCTGGTAAGGTCTTTGCTTTTCTTCTACTTAGAACAGCAGGTCTCTGATATTCGATTCCTCTATCAAGACTAAAGTTGAAAAAAATAACTGTTAGTAATCTAGCATGTATCCCAAAAAATTGCTAACAAATATTTTTCAAAATAGGGTCGACCTATAGCTGCTGGAGTATGAAGATCACGAGACATTAAAGTTTTACTGTAATGGTTGTCCACATATTTGCCAGGTTTACTTTAATTAGAAATTAAAAGTTCTTTTGCTGTGAAGATTATCGTATAAAATGATCATTTTTCAGAAATTTATCTAAATTTCAATATTTTCCTAATGTTAGGAATCCAAAATTTCAGATTATCTAATTTCAAATAAATTTCATATTAGAAAATATATTTATTCTTGGCCATCCTTGGTCACCTGTTATCATAAACAACACTCCCAGCCAATTAAAATTCCTCACAAATGACCAGCGCTCAAAATTATAGATTAAACTACTTAAAATTACGTATTCGTCACATGGCTACACCGTGCCACCGAATGACAAGTACGGCTACGTTAGCAATTTCTCATAAATAGCCAATTTAACATAACCAATTTTTTGTTTGAAAATCGCGAAACAGGCATAATTTTATAAAAATGAATTCTAAAATACTTAAGCTATAGATAGGATATGTGGTATCAATGGGCCATGTAAGTTTCCGCAAAATTTGCTTCAATTTTCACCAAATATTATTATTTTGTCCGAATCATGTTTAAAAAATTTAGCAATTTTGTAGCGAAATTAAATTATGGTCTTGTAAATCGCCAAACAAGTATAATTTTATAGAATCGACCCCAAAAATGTTAAAAAAAATATAATTTTAACACAAGTTTGCAAGAAATTGAACAAAATTATGCTTTAACATATATGGGCCTATGATAACACATCTATTATTAAGTTCTAACATATATTTACTTAACAATGACCCGAGGGTTTCGATTATTTAAATTAACTATTTCGCAAAAATGAGGTCATCATAGGTCGACAGGTTTATTGTAGGTCAATCATTTAGAGGTCAAATTGTTTATGTTTCAAGGTTTTTAGAGGTCAAACTAATAAATATATTTATGACTAATAATCTACTAATTATAAGCGTTGAGCATTTTCCATTAGGGATGTGCGAATTATTTAATTATTAAAAATGAAAACCCATATCATTTATAAATAAATCAAAATTACTGTATTTTAGAAATATTTCCAGATGAGAAACAATGGATAAAAAGAAATTTCTACCTGACAGATTCTTTTGCATATTCGACACAGAAAACTCTGCTGAGCATAATTCTTTGAGGTTCTCTGCAAAAAAAAAAAAAACGGAAAATAAATTTCACAAAGTTACAATGTTATCATAGTATCGAACAATAGTGGTTTGAAGCTAGATGTTCATGCAGCTAAATCAGTCATTTCTCAACCTTTTTAATAAATTTCTGCTTTTGCCTATTTTGAATTAGAGCAGTGGTTCTCAAACTTTTTAAGCCGTGCCCCCCCCCCCCCTTTAAAATTAGTCAAGTCTCGCGCCCCACTTCAAAAATAACTAGCTAACAATAAGCTACAAATAACATATAGGAAGGCTAATCTATGTGAATGGAATGTAAATATCTATAATAAAAAATGTAAATAAATATCCACAATAAGGCGGTCAAGATCAAATCTAACAAATATTTTTATTTTGAATTAGCTCCACGCCCTCATAAAATTGTCCTCGCCCCCTTTCTGGGGTGCGCTCCACCATTTGTTAAACGATGGTTTGGAGCCTTGTATTGAACAAAAGGCTTGGATAAATCCATCGAACAAGAAACTGTACTCACTTTATGACATGAATTTTCAATGAAGAAGCACGGCTTGCCAATCCTACAGCACCAAATAGCATTTCTGATAAAATACCGCTGTCCTGAGGTCCTCGGACATACTGAAAAATAAAATTAATTAATATTTTAATCTTTATAAAAGTCCCGCTAAAAATAGAAAGTTATCCCGAGTAGCCTATCTCGACCGCAGATTTTCAGAGTGTAATTTATTTATATAATCCAGTGCCATGCCACCACCTTTCCCAGGGGTTGATAAATTAGGATAGACATTGGTTCTTCAAGAGTTTGGTCTTTTCAAACTTTGTTTACCTACCCTTGGCTTCTTATATTGCACCTAGTTCGGAGAAAAAGGAAGATTAAACGACGTATACAAAAATCAAAATCTCTGGTTTATAGCTCAAATGCACATGCCCAGAGTTTTGTTGAGAGGTAAGACACTAAAAAATTTCAATATAAAATTCTTACCTGGTATCTGCTGTTAAATTGTTGATGACTTTTACTGTTGTTGTTAACGGAACCATGTTGTAAATTGTTCTGTAACAATAGAAAAAAATATATAATAATTTATCAAGCAGGTTTGCCATGTAAAAATTTTGGTACTCCCGTAGTGTGTGTACCAGGTTAGGGTTAGGCAACAATTTTATTCCGATTTGCTTATTTTAGTTCTATTGCGAGATTCTATTACGGGGACTGTCTGTGTTAGCCAAGTGAATATCCCCCTGCCCATAGGTTTCACAAATTGATGTAGAGTCAGCCTTTAATCTCCTATATGACACTTATGTGATGCCATGCGATTCAGAACTAAAACCTTTGAAAAAAGAAAAAATTTGAACCCATGATGGGAACTACGCCCGATAATAACCCAACTCTGGTTACGGTTGAATAGCAGACAACCAGACAAGTAGAACAAACAATAAAGACAGACATTCAGGAAAGCGTGACTTTGAGTCACGGGTCACGGATGAGAACGCACACAAAGATAATGAGAACCTTTAGTGACTCAGAGCACAAATAGACTAAAACTTTACAGTTCTTGGCACTTTTATCATCTTTTTTCATTTAGGCTATGGAAATTCTAACAGAATAATAGGAAAACAAAAACAAGTCGTTAGATGAACATTGCACTTATATGGCTGTCCTGAATATTAAACCAAATGTTCATATGGCAGACTGATGGCCCTGTATGGGGAGGCAATTCAAATGGCAATCGAGATAATATTCCCATCAAATAAGTGCCAGTGAGACCAGAATGAATAAGTGAGACCAGAATGAATAAGAATAAGTGCCAGTCTTACAGAGTTTAGAGACTTATAACAAAGATTATAACAGAAATATTTCAAAATCAATTAAATATACAAATCTTTAGTTTTTTTCTATATTAGAAGTAGTATATTAGAGATTCACATTCAAAATTACTGTAAATATCAGTTATTTAATGTAATATCGCCAGACCAAAAAAAGCTAAAATATGACATCATTTCCTCAGTGTAATACAAAATCAATTTCACTTCCTTTTAAATCAACCTGACTATGATGTAACAAATCTTGAAAGGGATGTGATTGTGATGTAAACACTTTACAATTTTAAACTCTATCATCAGTAAGTGTACAAAGCAGGCAATTTATGTCTGGCTTGGTAAGTATCTAAAATTAGAAATATTATGTCACGAATTTTTAATTGATGGAAATATTTTCATTCAATTCTAATAATTAATTCGATTGATCTTCTTGCCGTTTCTGTTACATTAATGCTTTATTGATTATGGTTGAGCGTGTATGGCCACAGCATGGAATCATTTTTTTATGTTGAATCAGTTTTGTCGTGGCGGAATATCATAAGCATCACTGCACATCTGACTAGTTCCACGACTGCATTCTTTTTTGTATATACATTTAATAATGAATTTTATTGCCGAATATGCTATGCATCACTGCACATTTGAGCAGTATTATTACTGCGCGGTAAATTTTGTATATATATTTCATCAATTTTGTTGTGGCAAAATGTCTTACACATCACTACACAAATATTCAATTTTACTACCAACATAAATATTGAAGTAATTTTAATGGTTATTTTCACAACTATATATATAATTACACAAAATATATTGAAACAGTGCTGTCTTAGCAGAATTTGTTACTCATCACTGCATAAATGAGCGGTTTATGTCATATTACATATAATCAATTTTGTTGTGGCAGAATATGTTACACACCATTGCACAAATAATTATTTTTACCAGAACATCATGCTACTTAAATTAAAACTATATTGATGTTTTGCAAATGAACTTTTTATTCACGATATTATTGGCAAAAATGCAGGATTTCACAATCTCTTGAGTTGCGAAATACAAAATTTCAGTTCATTAACCCTTATTGTGCATTTGAGCCTGAAGATAGAATCAAGTCTGTTAATCTAAATCTAGAGTGATTAAAGGGTTAAGCTACCCAATACCCTATCCAGGCAAGAGGATTCCTTGGTTTACCATTTAAATAAATAAGATTCCCTTTCATATGGTACACATATGAAATCGTCTTACAGAAAATACATCACAAGTTTAAACCCATAAACAGTTAAGATTGGCTAAAAATTGTCCCAGAAGTACAAAATACAATATTTTACAAAATTAACCCTATTCATACAGTAATCATGAAGGATATATACTTGAATTAGAAAAATATCACTACGGCCACAGAGGGTTAATTTCGATAATAATTGCCCAATACTACAAGTATTGCTTAATAACGCCTCAAGCAAAATTTGCCGACGTAAAACCACAAAATGCTTGTTTTACAGGATTAATTTGATAAAATTGTTGGCCACAAAAACCTTAAATGTTGTCTGCCATATTAGGTGGTTCACCAGGTACTTGAAAATACAATATTTCAATTTTAATTTATACATTTTACATACATAGTTGAAGCCAGGGTGAATTGTAAGTTCAATTTGCAAAAGAGTAAAACAATAAAATAAAAGTTGAGAATGTATGATATTATTAATATTAATAATCGTACATGTCAAAGTCTTTGACCAGAGATGTTCAAGACCAATAGAATATTTGAATACATTCGAAATTCATTATATTATTCATAATCATTATAGGCCCCTAGTAAACTTTTGAATTTTAGATTTAGAAATTTTGAACCATTAGGCAAGTAGACCAAAACGTATGATATCTTAAGTGGTAAGAAACAACACAGCGATCACAGTGGTCTTTCATATTCATGTCGTTTTAGTTGTGAACAACATTAACTAAGATATGATAGTTTATGTAATTTTCTATAGAATTTGCCTCCAATTTAGAATGTATTCGATATTTCATATTCGAAAATATTTTCTAAGAATGTATTCAAAATAGTTAAATATTCAGTTTTGTTCATCCCTGGCTTTGACCCAAAAGGGAAAAACTTGTTTTAAAAAAAAAGCTGTTTTAAAAAAATGAGAAAAGGGTTTATTTTCAATTTCAAACTCCCTGTAACTTTTCATTGAAATACGTACATAGATATCAACTTAAAAGAACACTTATTACTTTGTAATATTTCCAAATACTTTTTTTAATTTGACATGTAATAATTAGAAAAGGCAAATTGCAAGAAAACCAGAAAAAATAAGGAATACTCACTGCTGAATAATTTAAAGTGTCTTCATCTTGTTTCTGAAGATCAAAACTTTTTGAATCAAAAATTAATTTTCTGTCGCTGGTTTCCCCACATTCTTGGAAAAGCACAAGCCTGACATCTGGTGGTGGTTTCGCAACAACGATCGCAGCGTCATCCTCATGTTGTGTCTTGACTTGTTTAGCCGGAAGCTCGATTACGGCGGGCGTTTGCCGGTTCTTGCGACTGAAAAATAATTGATATATTTGACAATTTGTTGGAAAATCATGCTCAAAAACACATTTCTAAAAAGATTGTTAAACAAAATCCAAAATATAAATTTTGCAATATTTAATAATAAAATTATTGTAACTACATTTCATTATTATGAGAAACCAGACAGTTGATTATTCAACATGACAAATATTTAGTGCACATATATCGGAAAAGTTGACCAAATGTTGTAGATTTTAATGATTATGAAGGTTTACTAGCACTCAAAATCGGCAACTACCCATTATTAGTAGCTGCTAGTCTGTTTCTTTGTTTACAGCAAAAATTAATCGCTCCATAAAGCACATGAACTCTAAAATAGTGCTACATGAGTTTGATCAAAAAAGGGATAAAATAAATTATAATGTTGTAATGGAATTAAATGCGTTTGAAACAACTAGTTAACTATACATACTATACCTGACAGGGATAATAACCGGACAAGAGGCCCTGGTTCGAAATATTATTAAGCCGGCTTATCGGCTTTCTTCTCCTCCTTGATCATAACAAAAAAAAAACATCCTATTCTACATATTATTTGTCCATGTTATTCAATTAACAGAAACTCAATGTATGCGATATTTCTTCAATATTGGCTTTACATATGTTGAGTAACATGATACCAGCCAGCCTTTGCATGTTTACTATAAATGAACAAACTAAGAAAACTTTTTTTTTTTTTAAGTAATTTCTTAAGATGTTTTGTCCCTCAGACCGGAGTGTGGGTGTTACATTACGTGATTCACCCTGCGTTTTATGTCAACTATGACTCACAATTGTTTGTTGTGAATATTTTATGAACTCATAAAGGTTAACTGAACACCACAATGATTATTTGTCAATGTTTGTTTAAAATATAAAATATATCTTCCTAAGCTAGTAATTTTTCATTTTATTGTCAATGTGAAAGCATAATTCATATCAAATGTGTAATATATAACAACAATAATTAAAAAATCATTGAGCCTATTACCTTATTCTTGAGTTGTGCAAAGTAACTAATAATTGTTGTAGCATATTGCCAGGCACAGTGGTATGTTTTCAAATAATAAAAATAAAAGTGGCGAGAGCCTAGGAAAGATTATTTACATCTAAATAGTGAAAAAAGAAAATTGTCAGTTTTAAGAATTAAACAAGTGGTTAATCGCTCAGAGTATTGTGTCAGTAACTATTCTTCATGACACATGATTGAGCCTGTTGTACTATATCCCCTCTCACCTGGAATATCTCCCATACTAAAATTATGGCCACTGGGCCATCAGCAAAACTCATGATGAGGCCAGAAATTTTTCAAATTTAGCCAAATAATGGTGAGTGCATTGTTACGATGAATGGGCCCTATAAACAAAATCCTTTTTTTAGTGAGTGCACTAGTGTTAGTGAGGGTACTCATATGTTAGTGTTGAGAGCGGTGGGGGTAGCTCGAAAAGGCCAACTAAATAAAAGAATACCATGAATGAAATTTAAACAAAAAACTGCTAAATTTAGTGATTCATAAGTTTGCATTTACCATAGTTAATTTCCAACTTCGATACCAAGTATTGTCAGACTCACAGTTTCGTTTCAATTTATTCCTGATATCAAAAATTAACTATATTTACCACGGCCCATACGTGGGCATATCCTACAGTGTCAAACTAAAAATTCAACAGTGTCACATGATATGCCTGGTGACTCATACGGATGGATGACCAAAGAACACGAGACGTTTCAATAACAAAGCTTGCATGACTGCACGCATGATTGCAAATTTGAGATCACTGGTATGGTTAATGAGATTAGCTTGACAAGTGGAACGATAGAAACATTGTCATACAGAGTGTCCATGAAGTCAATTCCTAATATATCTGTTTGTTGTTTTCTAATCAGTAATCGTTTAAGTATTTTTACTTCATTTAACATATCTGTGAGGGTCACATCAATATATGGTATCGATAAACTCCCATTGCATTTTTAATGACTTTATGGACACCCTATACAACTAAATATTGATAAAATGCATTGAGCACATATTATTAGCTTTCAAATCAAATAAATATTTCAAGGCCATTTCATACCATGTTATTACCACTCAACCATATTAATTTTCCCTAAAAAATAGTTATATTGCCAAAATGTTATTCTATTTTCTACAACTGGAATTATTCCATCTCATCTCACAATCCCAAACCACTACCTACCTATACTTACTTTCCACTGATCTAACTCAGCTTTTGAACTACCCAACTAAAACTCGCAATTGCAACAACAGGGTAACTAGAAAAGCGAAAAACTACATGGTAAAACCGTCAGCAAAATCAACTATTTTGAAACTAACTAATACAAACGTCATATACCCAAATTTGTACATTGATCTAATGAGTTTTTAAAGGATTTGTATGCAACTGTCCTGAATTTCCACCCTGTGTGTTTGCCTTATTTACTGTAATAGATAAACGTTCTTATCATACGCTTCCCAAACTATCTCAACGGTGTACTGGAGCTTTCGAACCGGACTTTCCGCCCTGTCTGTTTGCCATGTTTATTGTAATTCTGTACAAAGGCAGAATACAAAATAAACCTTATCCATCTCCAGATCTCGTCCTGCTATTCCAAGCCAGCTCTACTCTTAACTGCTGTACCGCAGCTTCTAAACCAACTAAAACTAATCACCAACAACAACAAAAAAACTAAATTGTTTTATAAACAAACAAGTGACCTATTGACCCATATTATTATCAGGAAATCTCACAAATATAAACAAATTAATGAGCAATGCCAACAAAAGCTCTCTCTACCTGTTTACCTACTAATTAAATGAGGCAGTCAATGTGTTTAAGGGCTTGGAAAACACTTGGGTATTTATTATTAGGAACAGACTTGTTATTTATGTACACATGTAATGCATGTCTTGTGTAACTGACCTGAAGATTAACCAGACTTTTATATGGCAGGCCGATATCCGTCTACGAAGGAGGCCATTGAAATGGCGATTGGGAATCCCTTTTCCTAACCTGCTGTCTATATGGCAGCCCAAAAGCCCTGTATGGAAGAGGCTATTGAAATAGCTATTGAGACAATATTATCCATCCGTATTCCTGACCTGCTGTCTATATGACAGTCCAATAACCCTGTATGAAGAAGGCTATTCATACATTGATTGTTTCACACTAAATTGATTGCTTTTTGAGTACTTCAATAATTCAAATATCTAATAACACAAGATACAACATCTCATAGGCATGTTAATTGTCTGATGACACAAAGCTAACAATAGACCCATTAATAATCACAAGACAAATTATCTATTTTGCTAGACATTATATTTATCCCATCTCGAGCTTGGCACGAAGATGACAAATCATAGTCATCTATGGTACATCTATAATCAAGCATGATGGAAAGGGCACCTCCTACTTGAAACCTCTTAACTGTATCATATGATTATGAATACCACAAAAGGTTGCTTTCTAGAATTCACTATCGTCTGGAAAAAATTCGGTTTTCCAGACCTTCAAATAATAGTAGCCCATTATGTATAATCAGATATCAGTGACGGGTGAATAGGGGCATCGTCGAAGCGAAATACAGAAATAATAGTCGTATAATAATATGCTAAATTACAATTCAAAATAAAACCACAGTCCACAGCCATGATTCTTGAGTGTAACCTGGAGACTAGGTATTAAACTAAAATTCCTACTACCTAAGTTTTGAAAATCCTGACCTAACCCTTTTGATCAGAAAGTTTGCCCCTATGAGAGGGATTCACCTTTCTATAGCCCCCCCCCCCTCACAACACCCAGGAGGACTTGCAGGTCAATCTAAAACTAGAGTTTTTAGTCTGCTTGCCTTGTTCAGAGTGTCTCAGAAAATAGAACAAATCATCAAAGCAGATTGTGACCAGTTCTGACCAGCTACAATCATATGACCACAGAAGATTCTAAGTCATGTGATGTTTGCTTGGGTGGGAGATTTCAACAGAGTAGGGAAATAAAGTGAAAATTTGTACAAATATTTGAGTTAAAATATGCTCAAATAATATGTAAATATTACCTTTTTTCATATTATCGATAACTTTATTGACCGAAAAATATGTCTAGGACATTGTATGGAACATTTCAGCCCTTTGAAAGTATCTCTTCATTGAAAAAGTTGTAACCTCAATATATTAGGGATTATTGGACACGTAGTGGACATAACGATCGTTTCAATATTATGTTGTTGTTGTTGTTCTTGTTCTTTGACACGTTTTTAAAAAGTCGCTTTTCTCTGAATACTGGACCAATTGCTTTGAAATTTTCAGTGGTTAAAGATAAAAATTTTCTCCAGAAGGCTATTACTTTTTTTTTCGCTATGACGTCATCAAAATTATGTGACTCTACGTGTCCATATATTTGAGCATAGCTCTCTTATTATCATAATGTAGTTCTTTTCTATCAAAAGTAAACCGTTTAATAAACCCGCGAGAACTTTTTTTGCCAAACTAAGGGATCAGCTTAAAACGAATAACTCAGATCGCACTAAAGCGCCGGATTACACTCGCATAACTCTAATCGCAGTCAAACAAAATTACATTATGCTAACTTAATTCTACTACGACAATATGAATCAAACCTATGTACATAACATGACTATTCATTATCATATGACCAGAAACTACGAATCACTGGTGATATAGCATGAAAATATTAGGTCAGGAATACTACCAGATCAAGTATGGTAGTATAATAATTCATAATGATTATCCTGTGCCTTACAAGGCCCAAGGTTTATTGATAATAGAGTATATGCTTATTATTATCATGATGGAAAAAAATTGAATTATTACCAGATTAAGTATGATAGCATGATAATTTTAAAGAAAAAAATTTAATTCTGCTCTGCCATATTTGAAAGTAGATACCTGTTGAAGTTATAAGTAATTTACATCATAGTTAATTAAGGGCCAGGCATGATACGGTTATAAAAAACTCAATTTTCATTAAACGGCCAAGTTACATTTTAAGTATGGCCAAGCATGATTAAGCTAAGCAATGTGTATTGCTGTGTGGGCCATGCTTGAAATAGGTATAGCAAAGACAAAAATTCAGAAACTGAAAATCACATGATGTAGAAAGAAGAAATTTAAATTTAAATCAAAAGCCACATGAAACTAGAATATTCTAGAAAAACTCCCATAAAGAAGAGTTATGATTTTGAAAATATTAGAATGGCTACTGGCTAGCCTGAATAGTTTTATACAAGCAATTTTGAAATATTCTAATATCCCAAATGGTGTCCATTAGGTTACAATTTTTTTCCGAAGTATGTGAACCAAGATGGTGCACGACCTGAACATAGTATTCTACCAGGTTAGGGTTATCAGGATGTGCGCCATCTTGGTGCACATACTTCTGGAGCGCCCAATTTTGTATATTCATTTCATAGAAGGAGGACCAAAAGTCGATAAGACGGCTTATTTATATAGTGAACCATGATCGTTCAGGTTACCAGTCCATGTCAGGTATGGGAATTGGTAGATAATTATTCCTTTTCGATGTATCCTTGAACCTAATAAAACATGCTTGGTCCTCGCATACATTGTACAGATATTCTAAATTGGAGAAATGACAAAATATAAGTCTTAATTTTGATCCCTTTCGCCAATTTACAATATCTCGTAAAAAATATAAAATCGGGCAATTTACCACACATAAAATTTGGATTCCTTTTTAATGAAAAATCAGAAAATAAACATTCCAGCGAGGTTACTATCAGTCATTGACCTAATACAGCACTCTAGTCACAAGACTGACCTAGAAATGCTATATATCATGCAACACACTGCTTGGACTCTCACATGACTAATTCAGGACATAGGTATGTTATGCTTCATAGAGAGAATAAATAGATAATGCCGAAACAGTAGGAACCTCACAAAAACAGTATAAGCTGGTCATACTCCCATCCCCTTTCGAAATATAAAAAAGGCAATTTTCTGTATCATATATAGCAGTTTTGCGTAGATTGAAACGCTTTTAGACCCTAAAGACTCGAAAGGCCACCTCTTGCTGTTACGGCCTAACTTAACAATCAGAAAGTTCAGACCCCTCCTGGCTACAACCCTACCTGCAACAGTATTAGGAGCAGCTGACCTACCAATTCACCATGAGATGGTGACTAATCATTGTTTAATCATGTGACTATTTACTATATTATGAGTCAGCATTATCATGACAATATTGGTCAATTGTGAAATAATGATATGAAAACCAAACCGAAACTTTAAAGCATTAGTCATGCCTTAGGAAACCACTTTATCCGAACGATTCCATATATAATGGGAGGGTAAATGTAGAATATTTCAACTTTTGACAAATGCAATTTTTTCTCAGGGAAAACTTTCACATCTTCACTCTGAAAAGGGATCTCTACAATGCGGCCACTGAGTGCAAAAAGAGTTACTACCGGTACTTTAAAAAAGATAATAATACCATGGAAGCCACTTTATCCTAATGATTCCATAATAAGATGATAAATAAAGAACATTTCAATCTTCACAAATTGTGATTTCTTCTCAGGGAATGGACTGTAAAAAGGGTCAAAATTTCACTTTGCTAATACCACAGTTACTTTCACACCTATTTTTGTTTTTTTACATAAAAATCTCGCCAAAACCATTAAAAATCCCCAATAAATTCACCACTATCTAATAGCACTGATTCCTTGAACTGATTTACCACATTATATAATTCACATATTTCTGATGACATGATATAATATACTACTTTATGACACAACAAAAAGAATAGGAAAGACATTGTTTGCTAACAAACACAAAGTCATGTGACTAGATATCATATGACTGGCATTATTATGAAATAAAGATTTACAATTCATAGTTGAAATTCAATTATGAGGAACAAAGCGATACAAGCACAAGACTGGAAGCTGAAAATTACACTTCAAAATTACATTATATTACTCCAATTCTTACATTAGTCCAGTGCTCTTCAACCGGGTATACGAAGGGTGTACAGCCTAAGTCAGGGATTCCAAACTCTAATACAATAAATTATAAAATATTCAAACAGAGACAACAATGCGAACGCGGTGCTTATGAAATGTAAAATGTCATTTACGCAAAGAACCGATGTGAGCACATTGTTACATCACAAATTATATAGATAATGCGGTCACATGTCTGGGTTAGTGATTTCGGCTGCCATGCACTTCGTTTGATTTACATTGAACTTTATTATTGTTGATTTATAACTAGCGGACACTAGTCTATTAGATTGCATGATGATATTGCAGTACAATATGCGCTTGAAATTTAATGTTTATTTAAGCCCTAAATACATTGGTATTTGCAAGGTATACAAAGTTCTTGAAAATTTTTAAAGATATAAATAAAGTTGCCAAACTAGGGATTTGGCTTGGGCCTATACGTGCATACCTCTGATCACACTAATTCTCTTCTGTAAGCATTTGCTTTGATAGGTGCGTGCAGCATGTTACAATTTGTAGAGTCGGCTTATTTGCGAATTCCTATAAATTCCCGTTTTAGGGTCGAGTTTAGGAGGTCTACTTACATGCCAGGATATACATACTCATGATTAAAACAGTATTAATTTTGTATTCATTGTATTTCATTTCAATTTAAAAACCATTTAATACCCAAAATAACTAGCGTGAACAAACTTGCACAAGTAACAAAGAAACAGGAATTTTACAACAACTGGCAGTTATTTTTTACTACCTGGGATGGTGATTGAGTAAATATTAACTCTATTGAGCAATTCCGTCATAAGACCTTAAGTAAACATTGCTCTCGTGTCAAAGTGTTGACTGTAAAAGTAGTTTCTGTTGTCTGCTGTGAACTGGGAGTCGATATCACATGATTAGGAAAGTCGATTAAACATTCGAATATATTTTCGTTGGATGTGATGGTTTGGTGCAGTGGTGCCTAACCTTTGTAGTCAAATCTCTCCTTTCGCTCTTTTGAAAGCTTTCATTCACCCTCCCTCACTTGCAAAAAAGTACCGAATATTCTCACGAGTTTATAACTAAAAAAAAATCTAAGGGGTCGGCTCTTATGCGAACATTTGTTGCGATAGGTGCATAGGCATGTTACGATTTGTAGGGTCGGCATATGTGCAAATTTTTCTAAATTCGTCGTTTTGGGTCGTTTTTAGGGGGTAACTTTTTATGCAAGTACAATAAGTGTAACTTATTTATTCAATTTTTAATCAACCTTTATCTATACACAAATTGAACCTCCACTTTTGTACAGCTTCAGTATGTGTAATGCCTGTAAAACATAAGTACTATAGTAATAATAAAGAACTGAACACTATTAGTAACACTACAACAATTACAAAGCAGAATTTCTCCCCAAAATAACTCCCTGGCTGAAAAAATTAAAATAATCATATTTATAATTTTTTTTTCTCCCGAGCACACGTCAGAAAAATATGAATTAATAGCTCAATGACACTTACGGTAGGTTAGTTCGACCAGAATAGTCACAAGATCTTAATTAAATACAACAATCATGCAGAACAAACATGACCCCAGAAGTATGGCTAACGTGTGACAGAAGCATGACAATTCTTAACATAATATAACAATGTAATTTTTATGTAAAACTATATTTTTATTCTGTGAATGTAACAGCGCCTGCATAATAAACGGCGCTCCAGAAGTGTGTGTACCAATATGGAGCTGACTAATTTTGTTCGCCTACTTTACATCAAGTTATATAAAGGGAATGAAACCTATGGGCTGGGGGCATATTCACTTGGCTAACACAGACAATCCCAGAACTCGTAATAGAACTAAAATAGGGGAAAATCGAGATAAAACTATGGCCTAACCCTAACCTGGTATACATACTATGGGAGTACCTAATAAACAAGAGATCACGCTCAAAATCTCAAATATATGGACAAAAAGGTCCCGTAACTAACTGTACTATCATTAGCCAAAGTAAAATACGGCTGATCATTTAATTCGCAAAACCGAGACCATTGATATGTGTGATGGCCACATTTATAGGAATAAAAACATTGTTCCCAAAAACCCGGAACTATGGCGTTTTATTAGACATGATTATTTTTTCAGACTAATAACAAGTTTCTAATATGTCATGAAAACAAAAAACTCTATTCCTTCCAGCTTATGTCTATTGATGTATTTAGGCTGATAGTTCATAGCAGTGGCCATACTAAAGAAGTATCGAATGCATATGATGTTGGTGCAGCAGGAGAGTACCCAGACAGGTCGGTTCCCCCTTTTAAAATGTAAAAAAAAAGCATTTCTCCGTATCATACATAGAAATTTTTCATGCGCTTTTTGGGACTCTCTTTGAAACTCACGTTTCTGACCATCCTGTTACAGTCTAATTCTGTAATTTGGCAACAATTTCAGACACCCCCCAATGTGCCCAGTTTCAAGATGAAAAATAAAGCTTCAGAGCTGAATGAATTGTGATTTCAAACTAGCTCCCCAGCTGTGATGCTGACTAGCCTTGCCTAAGTAAAATTATGACAAAAATTAAAAATTAATAGAAATAAAAACTTACCAAAAAATTCCAAATTGTTTGGATGATTTTTTCCCGTTCTTTGAAACGAAAAATTTGTGAAAAACGGTTTCCATTTTGGTACGTTGGTGTTATGCATCACCAGGTGGAGTTGTGAGTAACCTATTGCAGGCATTTAATGATGAAATATAATCACTTTGGACTTTGTATATAAATCTCGTAGCTCTCAGTTGCTTGAAGATGTAAACTGTTCAGAGTTTTTCATTTTGTATGTCATTCATTTGACATGTAAATATTATAAATTGTGACATAATTCTGTATTTTAATAAACTACATAAGGAACATAATTTTTTATTGAATTAACACTATATTATATTTATTCTCAATTTACTTTAAATGGGAATACACAAAAATTTAAATTACTTAAAATAACAATAAAGAGCTGATAAAAAAGCTTCGATGTATCTACTGAAAAATTATTTACCATCTATCATTATCAACTTAAATCAGTGGTTTCCAACTTTCTTCAATATACTTCTCTCTTTGCCTAAATTTGGATATCTTTATTTCTTACTATGCATAAAAACTATGTTTGCATCACCAACTCACAGTCTGGCTTTCGCATAGTTTGAAAAGTTTCTTATTTGTTGATAAAACAATATATATTCAGATATTACAAATAAATTGAATAACTGAACAATATTAGACAGACTACACCGAAGACTGTATATTCTCTAAAACTCCGTATTTCCTCCCTATAAACAAAAAAAATCCTCACACAGTCCGACAGCCGAGAGAATTGTGGGGGGATCATTTGTTGCATATATAACTCCATACAGTGACATGAAATACCTAAAACTACCAAACTCACAATGACTGGATGAAAAGCTAATACCAATACCAGCATACTGTGCTGCAATGCTGTAATAAGACAGTTTCAATGCATGTTACTGCAATACTGATAATCTATATAAATTCTAAAATCAGACTGTTCGACTTGTGGACCTGATCTTTCTCTTGTAAACAAAATATTACAGACTGTCATTCCTGGCACAAATTAATGACATAACAACAAAACTGGTTACCCTGTTACCGAAGTAAGGTACCGTACGTACCGTACCCAAGCTGCCAAGGTTCAATACCGTACCGGTACGGTATCTACCGTAATTAAATTTGTAAAGTCCAGAAGTGGGAAATTAAGTTTTTTAACACTGTGAAAGTGGACAACATACCTATATTATAGCAGGTGTAAAGGCAACATCTCTACAGCTCTATAACAAGATAACCCTAGCTCAAATATATAACTACAACTAACATCACGGCATCAGAACATGATAGAAAAATACTTAATACATGTAATACAGTAATAATTCTGTAATTCTGTAATTACTGAATCAGGCAAGACAAGTGAATTGGCTTAGCTTAGTGACCTGACAATGGCAAGTGTTAGACAGTCGATACAAAACTAGGATAACTAGACAAGCAAACAAGTCAGAAACAAGAACAGCTGACCCCTTGCCATCTTATAGACCCGATAAAGACAAATACAACAAAAAATTCCCGTCAAAATCTGAAATTGAAACCCCAGGCGACGAGAAAATATGAGATAATATAAACTAAGGAAGAAATAGACGAAACGAAAAAAGTTGACTGAGAGAACTCGTGATACCGTGTCATGTGACTAAACAAACTATGACGCAAAATGCGTCATACTACGGCGACGATTTTCTCAGCCGACGTCGATTTTCACGCACGACGTCTATAAATAAATCAGCCTTTGAGCATATATGGTGTCGTTACGGAAGATTTTAAAGTTACCTTTGAAGTCGCTTCCGTAAATCGAATATAATACATTATGGAGAAATAAACTTATGTTTTCGAGACTGGGAGTCAATAAAAACTACAATAGTCGTCACTGGATTTTCCTATTACGTTTTACATAATAAGTTTCTCGAGGCTTCCCTTCCCCAGTTGGAATGTATTATTTTCTTTTTTCTTCGTACTCTTCATAAAACTGACTTTTTACTGGTTGGAAAAATCAAACTTGACTTGAATAAGATAAGATTTTCGCCTCTCGTCCGGATACCAGTCCATCTCGGGTATAGGATCAAACAAAGCCAGTCATTTGTTTCAAATACATGAACAATTTTACAACTCCGCCATTTTACACAAAATGAAAACACACATGACAAACACCCAAAAGGGGAAAATCAGGATTGATGAGAAATAAAGTACTTAATGCGTAATCTCACCTCGTGACACAAAATATGTGAAAAAAAAATTTGTTGCTATATAGGACATTTCACATCTCCGAACAAGGATTTGGGTACGCATTCTCCGATACGTCATGGCTATCGGCACAATATTATGTTCAAATAGCATAGGATTAGTATTCAGTGAAGTGATAAAAAAATAACTATTTCGTCGTTATTAGTTGTCTTGCATTGCTTTTTGTGTCGTGATATTTGTTGTATTATTCGAGACTTAAATCCCTTTCGCAACTGTATCTACAAATTACCATGATATGGATATAGGTTTATTTGGGCGTATTATTTCCAAAATCGTTTATGTAATGATCGTCTGCGGTAATTAGAGTCATAATTACGCAATAATCAATATTTTATAGTTGTTTATGACAGATCACTCGGTTCATTAGATATTGTTTTGTAATAATTGATAATTGCTCCTTTATTGCGCAACAGGTCAATATCAGATATATCTGGTTTCGTCGCCTGCTTCTGAGTGAACGGTTTATATAATGACCCGACCTGACACTTTAGCTTTGTCTTTATTCAACGGCAAATCATTTATTCAAAACAATGTTCAAATCTGGATCGACGATAGGCTAGCTGTCACAGTTCAATTGGGTTAATGTTTTGGAAAGTGACTGATGTTTTGGCGAGAAAACCTTGTATGCGAGTCATTAAAATTTTGACGCCATGGAGCTCGCTCTGACAGTTTGTCGTAACAAAGCCAAAATATATCATTAAATCCTATTTATCAACGAGCATTGCGTCAAATTATCTAGTCGAAGAAAATGTTTTTAAGCGAAATACAAATCTCGATTCAAACAAACGCTTATCGGCAGCGGTCTCCTCACCCCCTTATTTGAGGTGTGACCTCAATCTTTAATTCTTAACGTAAACATAAATGTATTTAAATATCCAGAAAGTGGCGTACATCTGTATATGCCGGTGCAGATGATCAGTCGAATTCATAACGCATTTTTAAAAGTTTAAGATAGCTACATGGACTGGTAATAGGACGAACAGTAGTGATCCACTCTATGATTGGGTCCGCTTCCCCTCCGGTATAAACTGAAATCTTAAAAAAATCTTACTACCCAAACTTTTGCAAAGCTATAACGTAACGCGTCGCCGCTCTAGTTTATTTCAAATTTAGACATTGTTCTGAGCTTTGCAACCTTGTTACCCCTTTCGATCCACACTAGTTTATCGTAATTTAGGGCGAATTTTCGTCTGTTTATACGGTATATCGAAATATTTACCATGTCAGCTCCAAATCACTTTTAATAAAAATTCCAACTCAAAGAATTGAAAATGCGCCTCTGGCTCCGGTGCCTATACCAACAAATATTATAATATCGTCATTTTTCATAAAAATAAAAAATAAAATTGATCAGAGCAATGTCGCCCTCACTCACTAAAAAGCAAATGAGACCTATTTCTGAGCGACGTTACGGGCACTAAAATGCATGTGACTGGAAATAGCACTGATTCGTCTCTAATTAAGATTCTAACTCTACCTTATTTCATACAATAAAGATAAATCGGTACAATATAAAGTTGAAATTCGAGAATAGGAATGACGCAACGTTTACGAAATAAAATATCAAAGGGCGTTGATAAATTTAATAAAAACGAATTGTTAGATAATGGGCGGCTTCGTAGACATACGTTCCACCCACGCCGTTATCTCGAGTATGAGAAGGTGGATGATTTATTTTGAACCTCAAAATGAGATTTAAACATACATAAGACATACATAAAAGGGTACTCCTGAAGTATGCGAACCAAGATGTCGCATAACCTGAACCCTAACCTGGTACACAACCTGAGTTCAGGTTGTGCGTCATCTTGGTGCGCATACTTCAGGAGGTCCCATAAAAGTATTACGAGGTCAATCTCGCCTCTTGACATAATATAGGTGTAAAACATTACAAGATACACTGTAATCGGGCTTTGGGCTTGCGAGAAAAGATTTACAAGTAACCAGCATGACCACAGTCAACGCTTAGAGGTGTATATATATATTCAGTACTGCCGAGTCGTATTTGAAACTTTTGTTGGGACCTTGTAGAAGGCTATGTACAAGCAGTCATTGCTGTGTAAGTTAGTTTTCAAACTCTTCTGAGTCGAAATTTTGAACTCATCGGAGTAGGAGTGTAATAAAATGGGTTACTGTATATATATATTGGTATTAATTTTGAAGTACCGACATATCTCCTATTTGGCATTACCTTCCTATTTCATTTCACTCCTACTTCAACGAGTTCAACATTTCGAATCAGACGAGTTTAAAAATTCTGTCTATGTCCCCGTTGTTACGTCATCGTTGACTTTTTGCTGATAAGCTGTTGTTACGGAAAAAAAACAAGGCAATCCAGACTCGGGGAAACATACATAAAAACATGCCAAACTGCGACTTTTTGCATAATAGTAAAGCAAATTTTACTGTTTATTTATACTTGAACGTTTAACCGAAGATGGGGATGGGTAACAATTACTGTTGGTGTTCTGTTAAACCAGCCTTTGTTGAAGTTGGGTGTGGAACCATGGCGTAACACAACAGATATTCGGGAGTGGCTCGTTGCTTTGTTACGAATTTTATTTTAAGACAAGGATGGTTCACTAGGACTAGCCGAATTTCGCAGTCAACGGTTTTTATGTCGTAAGATTTATTGTAAAAATTGACGATCTATATCAGGGGTGGGAAAGGTTATTGGACCAGGGGCCAAAAAATTTTTCCACCTAGACTGGCGGGTCACGTAAGTGTGATGTAAAAAGTTACATTTTATGAACAATATTCACAGTGTTACGAAAGAAAAAGTTAAAAACGATAAGCTAAATTTAATCGCAATCTCAACAAATTCCTTGAGCTATTTTCAACTAAAACATAAAAATTTGATTTCAGCTTGGTTGTGGCAGCATTAGGCGGGCCAGATTGAGTCACGCAACGGGCCGGATTTGGCCCGCGGGTCGTACTTTGCCCATGTCTGATTTATATCCTACTTACAATGATGGATTTGGCATTTTAGGAACTGGGTTTCTTTTTTATCGAACTCACTAACAACGGGTT